CCCTCACAAAACAACTCAGACACTGGAGAGCTAGAACAATGGCCCACATGCAGGTCATGGGAGATGATTTTTCAGCTGGATACACCCTCTTTACTGAGGATAATATTCAGAAAATTTATCTTGATCCTAATGTGTTTATTCAGAGTCAGAGTCAAAAAGAGATTTCCTTCTCGCCTCAGACAAGCTACACTCAACTACTAGATATTTACTCTAAGGAATATAAAAATGGTGAAGATCAATCAAATATTGAGGTGTTGGAGTCGATTTGGGTGATGACCTTCCCAACGATGACCTAGATGAGCCAGAGGGTATAGCCTTTTATGATGATCTTGACTCAGTTGGGTGGGAAAATCTCGAAAACCAAATGGAGGGATAATAAGTCAGACAAAGGAACAGGCATGCCTCACTCCAAAGTGATTGTCATGAGACATGTTCCTCAAAAGCCGGTTACTTTTTTATCTTTCCCAAAAGATAAAGATGACCGACTACAGTTACCTCTGTAAATAACCCTAGGGTTAGTTAACCATAGTTAGTTTAATGTAACTAAGGTTACTTTTACTGCAATTACTTTGTAACCTATGTTAGTTTTTCTTTCTTTAAATAAACCTTCGTGGAAGTAGAAGTCACGGTGGAAGAAAGGTAAAAAGAAGGATTAGGAAGTAGAGAAAAGAATAGCAAATAGAGAAGGTAGAAAAAGAGAGAGTTTGCTTAAAGGTTGTACTCCGTTCAAATCCTTTGTAATCTGCACTCTTTTAAGTATGTATAAAATATATTTCCAGTAGTTTTCTTTCATATCTGTTTTGTTAAGATTGTAGTAGAAATTTTTTTGTTTATTTTCTTCTCTATATATATATATATATATATATACCCCTTGATCACAATTCAGAACAGCACCGTTAAATCATGATTAAATTGATTTTCCTCAAGACCAAAAAAAAAGAAAAAATATGTGAATAATAAGATTTACACGTCAGGGCTCCTAATTCATCTACGTGGCGTTGGAGAAACTGTTTAGATTTTATAGTTCGCCTTCTTCCACAGTAATAGCCAAAAAAAAAAAAAAAGGAACTCCTTTCATAGACTTGCAGTGGAGGCAAAATGTATCGAACGGCGGCGAAGAGGCTCTTCCTCGGCAACGCACTGGGCGGCAATGGCAACTACCGTCTCCTACGTTCCTCCAATCTTAAGTCCAATATTATATCTTCACTCTTTTCCACTACTGTAAACCCTCAATCGTCGACGTCCACTGATCTCAATCCCAACCAACATGGAACCCCAAATCCTTCTGATTCAATTTCTTCTTCGTCTTCGTCGTCGAAAAGTTGGTCTACATCATCGACGGATGGGGAGTATCCACGCCAGGAGAGGCAGAGACCGAGAGTTAATTACCAGGAGGAGGAAGCTCGCGTGCTTCAGGCCTCGCTCCGCCATGTGGTGCGTAAATTCATTATTTGTCCCATTTATGATTTCTGTTTCTGGTTTGAATCATTTCGGGGTCTTGTTTTTCTTTCATTTTTCTGGATGATTGTTGAATTTTTGCGAAATCTTTTTATGGGTTGTGTTTCCTTTTTAATTATCCTGGAGTGGAGCATCAAAGACCTTTCCTTTCATTAAACACTATATTTGTGCGAAAGATTGGACTGTCAATATCAATGGCGTTTGTATTGCTTGAAAGGATATTCAATTTCGTTATGGGTTGTTAAATGCTTTCTAGACAGATTGCAGAAAATTTGTCTATCATGATTCTGAGTTTAGGGTGTGAATGGGCTTCTGCAGTTGAGGTTGGGATGGAGTGAAGAAGCTATGATTGCAGGTGCAAGAGAGATTGGTGTGTCTCCATCAATCGTTGGATCTTTTCCAAGAAAAGAAGCTGCACTAGTTGAGGTATACTTGTTTTAGTTCTCCCCTGCCTTACCTGGGTATCTTTCTTGGGGTTTTATGTGATTTCCTATTTCAACTATAGTGATCAGTATTCAGTTGTCGGGAAATAGCAAATTGATGATCTTTCTTAGTCTAACATAAAAGACTGCTTTTTAAGGTTGAAAACTGCTTTTGCTCCAAGGGCTCAGTCTAGTGTTCCTGAATGATTTGCCTTATCTGATTGTGATATGTACTCATTAGGCATGTTAAAACTCTAATCTGCTGCTGTCTCAAATGAGGTTGTGCTTTATTTAATTTAGGCTTGTAATGCTGGTTTGTGTTTAAACTCTCTTTTACTCATGTATCATGTATGTAATTTTGTTTCTTAACACAAGCTCAGTTTACTGTCCATGGATTCTACACTCTGGTTTTAGCCTGGATTACATATGTTGATGTTGACTTCTAGTTACTTTTTTCCCTGTCCAGTTTTTCATGGATGACTGCTTACAAAGGCTTATTGATAGAATTGACTTGGGAGATGATTTTAAAAACTTGATTCCAAGCCAGCGAATATCCAATCTCGTCAGGATTCGCCTAGAAATGCAAGGCCCATACATATCAAAATGGCCGCAAGCTCTTAGCATCCAAGTAAAAAACTCTATCTTTGTTAAAATTCTGCTGAACTCACATTGAGAGAGCCTTAACTCTTTTGATAGCGGAATGATGCCACTGTTCACAGGCACATCCATTGAATGTTCCAGCAAGTTTTAAACAGCGGGCAATGCTGATTGATGAGATTTGGCATGCTGCTGGTGATGATGCTTCTGATATAGATTGGTATGTGAAGCGGACTGTTCTTGGAGGGATATACTCAACAACTGAGATTTATATGCTGACTGATAGTTCTCCAGGTTTATTTTCTTTGCCTTTTCTGTGCTTGGAACATTGACCGGTATACATTTGTTTTGATTTTGTTTCTTTAATACACTCATGTTGTTGTTGTGTGTGTTTTCTCCCTTTTTGTGTCTGCAATTCATAGCAATAGCTGCTTTATTCATTGTTTCTGACTGAACTTCAGGGAATATCTCAATTGCAAACTTCTCTCTCCTTTTAGCTCATGAAACCAGGGATGCAACCTTTTGAATGGTCTTTCCTTGACTGAATTTCTTTTCTAACAGATTTTCGTGACACATGGGCATTCTTGGATGATCGAGTGAAAGATGCATTTGATCTAAAGAAATCAATTCAAGAGGTAGTCTCTACTGGCATGGCTTGCTCTTATTTCCATATATTTTTGCAATATTGACCTTTTGAGAAAATTGGAGTCATTTTTCTCTTAATGGACTGATTTGTTTGCAGGCAAAGTATTTGGCAGAAGCCGTTGGTGTGGGAATGGGGAATTCTTTGCAAGGATTTGTGAACAAAGTGTTTCAGCGATGAACAGGTTTCTGGTATTTCAAACTACCTGATTGCTGCATTCTTATTTTTTCATCAAAGAGTTATTTTAACTAGGAGTATCTGCAAAATGAGACATCATGTCAATGTGCTGATGGTTCTTCAAACGCCAGATCGTTTCCTTTGCCACATTTGCCACATGTCCTACAATTCAGACTTGGTTCTGTGTCGAGGCGGAAACTGCAGTTTAATTCAGGGCTGAGCCTTATGTCTCATTCAACATACCCGACCTCTGGCAATGTAATTAACTTTCATGCCCACGTTTTTCTTTTAATAATAAGTGATTGTCGACATCATGGTAAGCAACTTTCATGTATTTCTTTCTTTAAAAAATACCAACCATTTTAAATAGATGGAAGGGCAACTCCCAGAGCCACTGTACAAGGCTATAAATTTGCTTTTATTTCTAATATGACTTTCGAATACTAGTGGATTAGTGCAAATAATAATATATACTTTTATTCTTAGCTCAGTTTTTCAAATTTAACTTATTTTTATAATTTAATCAAGAAATAGTTATTATCAATTGCCAACTTTCAAAAAATACAAAAGAAAAAAAGAAAAAAAAAAAAGCCACTACTAATAACCAAAAACATAACCTAAGGCCATTGAGTCACATCCTTTGGTACCTCACTTGAACGTATCTGATGATGCTGTGGCAGTTATAGCTCTGCAAGTCACACTTTCTCAATCAGGGATTTTGCATTTGCATAACAACGCACCAAGCAGTACTAGATGGAAAAATTACGACCATGTTTGGTAACGCATGGGCTCGTATATGTCAACAAGGTGAATAAGAAGACCAGTTTTCATTACCTGAAAATTATTTCGGAAACTGGATTATTGCTCATGGACTGTTAGGAAAAAGTAAAAGATTTGTTTCATGGATGAAAATGGGTGATGAGATTAAAGCATTACGAAGGGATCAGGTTCCTGAAGGGTCACCACCTTTGAATAGGTCGGAATTTGAATGGGGTAGACCTAAAAAGGTAGAGATTGTGTCCATGGATTCATAGGCCAAGTGCGGAGACTTGCCCAAATACTAGTGCATGAGACAGTTTACAGATACTCGTGAGAAAAGTTGAAACCTGACATCAAGCTTCTTGTTCAGAAACCTGGTAATTTAATATGGCAGAGCTGCTTATACTACACGCAAAATACCTTGGCCAACGAATGCATATGGTAATGATTTCACTGATTTCTAATGTGTGGTTTGGGGGCGTATCCGATTAGGGGTTCATATATTCACAAATGCACCGAGGGATTCCAAACGCAATTTCTGCCTTGTGGGGTGCTCTTGTGCTCCTGCCTTTCAGACGGGATAAGGTCGGAAAACGAATCGACTTAGATGAATCAAGATCTATTGGCCAACGCATTTTGATATGACGAGACCTTGGGGGAAGCATAGAAAGTAAATTCAAAGATTATCCATGATCATGACAATAAAACACAGGGCACAAACATCTAAAGATTATGTAACATAAAGAACTAGATAATGGATAATCAAATGTGCCATTACAAAATTCGGCACCAAAGCAACAAATGAGAGGTAAAAGCCCAGAGAAATTAGTAGGGAGAAAATAAGAGAAAATATTTTTGGTAAAAACCCAAAAACCTAACCTAAACTGAAGAACCAAATTCTATGACATGCACATTCTGCACGTGCAACAGAGGAACAAGAAGGTCGTCACCATTGCCTCTAAAGAGACCCAAAGAAACAACTTCCCCTTACTAGCTGTTTAGCAGATCAGATCTCCAGAACAGTTACTACTTTTTAGCTCTAACTCCCTCCTAAGGCAACTGATACGACACAAGAATCTTTCAATCCCATCCAGCTCATTTTCAATTTTTGGTCACCACTACATTAAGGTTGGCAAACATGGCATGAACCCATTAAAAGAATGAAGGCATCTCTTAGTCGAAATCTAGGAACTCCATTCTTTTTCTCATGGTGCCCTTCAAATCTGTTGCCTCCCTTTCTACTTTCTGAGCCTGAAGAAATGCAATAGACATGAGTAATTAAAATGAAGAAAACACAACTGACAAGGAGAGTTTTGTACTGAACTCAACAATCCTCAGTTTTTGCTAGTGGGTAGGTATACGCACCTTTTTCCTTTTTAACCTTGCAATTAATTGCATTGTAATAGAAAAAAGTTTGTATTGTTTTTAAAACTAAAAGAAATGGCAGACGTGCAAGATGTGCTGCGTAACAGTAACTTGCCAATTGCCTCCACCATCCACTAATAGTGGGGAGCTTGAAGAATGACCAGGTCAATGGACCATATTGGAAGACAATATTGAAATTTAAGAAGAAACAAAAATCACAATAAATTGCTCACACCGTAGAACCTAATGAACAAGTATATTCTAGATTCACATTTCAAATTTTGGATACAAAGTTTTGTTTTAAACATGTGCAAAACAAAGAACCAAAAAATTAGAAATTGGATTTTAGTGTCCAACAAGTCATCTCCTATTTAGGAAGTCCAATAAAATAAATAGGATTGTCACACTGAGTTGATATTCCTACAGAAAACCTAGAACACTAGCTTATGACATTAGCAACCTCCCTAACAACACCGATTGTGATAGAAAGCAGCCACTTATCCATCCGTATCACACATGCATTCACAAATTAAAATCAGCTCAGTAGCTTTCAAGGAGAAACTTAAATGATCCAGCACAAAAGATAAGACATTTACCCTCTTTATCTCTGTTACTGATACACGAGTCATATGAGGGGGAAGCTCCTCCTTATCTAAATCCTGTAACATCAATAGGAGATATCAAGAATGATAACCTCCTGTGCAAGTGCACAAGTCAAAACTATAGTAAAGTCAAGGTAAATAGCATTACCAGCTCCCCAATTAAGACAACATTTTCCCCACGAATTACATATAGACCTAAGGGGATATCACAATAAAGATCTCCAACAATAACTCTCTCGCATGCTCCTTCTAGAACAACATTAGCTGTGAAAATGGAAGAGAATTCTCATCACTGATTACAAACCAAAAAGAAAAGAAAAGAATTAACAGAGACAAGCTTAGCAAAGAGTAAGATGTGGACACAAACCGAATTGATCAAAAGAACGTAGTAACCCCAAAAGCTTTCGGCCATCTCTCAGCAAGACAAGAAGTTTTTCTGCAGAATAGAGAAAATGTTAAGAACAAAACTTCAAATCAATAATTTCCTGAACTATTCAATTTCAAGACACAGACACTTCAAACAAAATTCAATAGACCAAACTAAATCAAACCCAAATTGAAGAAAATAAATCCTTACACCAAAGACCAAATTGTAAAACTATTACCACAAGATTTACGAATTACCAAAAAAAGATGACAGCAAAAGGATCAAACTTTAGCGGATAAAGAAGTGAAAATAGAATGCAAACAAGAACCCACAAATCAAACAGTATCATTACCAAATTCTGTATCAGAGCAATTACATTGGCTTTCTCAAGAAACAAACAATACATAAGCAAGTAGACATAGAGAGGGACGGAAGATTACTATCAAGATAAGTAGCAAGCGAGGTGGAGAGGAAGATATCATCAGGGCCAGCCCACGACATGGAAACCACTCGTTGGGGATGCTTCGATTCCAACCCTCCAAACCAATGGCATTGGCTTCCCAAACAAGCCTCTAAAATCAAAACCCAAAATTGAAAAAACCCCAAATCTCATAAAATCCCTCTCACCACAGCATCATCACCAGATCACCTCCAGAGGCGTAAAAAACCCTAGCTTCCCCAACCCAACAGAGACCCTTTTATGGAGAGATAGAGGGAGTTAGGTCTAGAGCTTTTTGACAATATACTTTCTGGAAAGAGAAAGTCCCCTCAATCAATTCATCAAACTTTCCTTAATAATCCCCAACTACTAAAGAATTTTCAACTGGGTCGGAATGAAAAATTGAAAACCTTGAAACTAAAAACTCCAACTTTGACTTGAAAGATGCAAACTTTTTTTGAATTAAGGATGAATTCTGGGGGGTTTTCTGTAGTTATTTTTGGACCGTTGGATTGGGTTTTAATCATTGGATTAGAGCTAAATTAATAATTATAATAGTGGTTATCATTGAGGTGTCATGTGACAGACAATAGGATGTCGACGCGTGGCGAATTTGTGGATAATAAATATGGTGGTCGGTGTCCCACTATTGATTTGGATTTTTTTATTTTTCTTTGGATAATTGGATTTGGATATTAGATTGATGCATCGTGCGCCATGCATCATCATCATAATCCTGAAGTTGAAGGTAGATGAGGTGATGTTATGCTTAGCATTTTCTTACGTATAGGGTAGTTTGACCCAGCTTTTAT